GCGGGGCCGGGGAAGGGGCCGTGTCCCGGGGTGCCTGCCACAGCGTGGCCTCTTACCACTCGGAAAGACATTGACTTGGATCCCTCCCCCAGGGGACCAGCCACATGGCACCAGGGATGCAGTGACAGGAGGAGCAAGCGAGCACACAGCTTTCCCCAGGAAGGCTCTGGAGGTCCAGGGTGACTGGTTATTCCCACCCCCACTCCCTCTGGCACCTGCTTGGCCCGGGGGGAGGGGGGGAGCCACAAGGCCATAGGGGTTGAGGCCCTCAGCAGAGGCGTCGGGGCCCTGGGGGTGGTTTCCCGAGCCCCCGCCGCCTGTCCGCTGCAGGCTGAGGAAGGCCAGGATGGCCTGCACCTCGCTGGCGTAGCTGCTGTCTGCCATGGTGCGGCCCTTAGAGGCCAGTCGGCAGCCGGCCATCCAGTGGGCATATTGCTGCTCCTGGGGACAGGGGTGCGGGTGCTGAGGGACTGCCGACCTCCCCACTCCAGCCTCAGCCCTGGCCCCGGCCCCAGTCCCGCCCAAACTCCTGTCCCTTTCTCTGTCCCTACTCCAGCCTCAGCCCTGGCCCTGCCCATGCCCACCCTAGCTCCTATCCCTTGCCCCTCCTCCAGCTTCAGCCTTGGCCCACCTGCCCCGCTCCTGGCCCTCACTCACATCCTGACACCGTAGGTAGAGCTCGCTCATGCCCTCAGGTGAGGGCACTAGGAGTTTGATGCAGAACTTCTGGCCAGAGACATTGACGTCCGGGACTACCTCACAGCCTGGAGGGAGAAGAGCTGGTGGGCCAGGGGCTCAGGGAGGGGGAAATGGCCTGAGAGGTCCTTGTGTGAATGCCGGCCCTGTGCAGCCGTGTCAGGGCAGAGGGTATTGTCCGTGGTCTCCAGGAGGAAACTGGGGCTGAGAGAGAGCATTCCCTGCCCAGCCCACAGGAGGGCCAGGTGGGGCCCCAGCCTGTTCACTCACCCTTGAGGTTGAGCTGCTGAATGGGGTCCCCTGGGGCTTCATCCTGGCTTTTATAGTAGGACAGGGTGGTGTCCTTGAACACCACCCAGTGCTGGCGATAGCCCTTCAGGGTCAGCTTCCGGGGCCTGAGAGTGAGATGTCAGGTTTGTGAAAGGCTCCGCCCTTCTGTCCTTCCTCCCTTCTCCAAATGGGCCATCCTGCAGGGCTAGCAGCTCTGGGCTCAGACTCACCGGAAGATTCGGAGATGGTCCTTGAGTTCTGGGATGGCGGTGAGGCTGTCCTGTGGGAGAAGAGGAGTCAGAGGGAGCGGGTTCCCTGTGCTCGGCTTTGACCAGCCCTACCCGGTGTTGATCCTCACCAGCACATCTGTGGGCGCGGATCCCTCCAGCTTCACCTGCAGGTCGCTCAGGGCTGCGTCCAGGTCATCCAGCCCCGGGTCAGGGCCAGCAGGCTCACCCACCTCCCCACTCTGGGACAGCTTGTTGACATGGTACTGGGGGGGGCACAGGGTGAGAGGGCTGAGTCTAGCAACCCACCTGCCAGCAGTGTCCCTAGGCTGGGCTTCCCCGGAGAGGGACTCCACTCTGGAAGGCCCCTCCTGCCCTGGGACTGGCCTCCACCCAGCGACCCTGGCTCCCATGCTGGCCTGGCACCTGCAGGGCTGCAAACACCATCATTTCCTCCTCGGTGCAGTCGATCTCTTCCAGCAGCAGGTCCCACCGAGCCTGCTCGTACAGCTGGGTCAGCCGCACTGGGTCTGTCTGGAACCATGGGAGGGAAGCTGGGTGGGTCCGATGCTACCTGCCCAGCCCTCCTCACCACGCAGGCTCCGTCAGTGACCTGGCACAGGCAGCAGACCCCAACTCCACCCTGCAGCGGCCAGCCTCTGCTGCCGTTGTCCCTCTAGACCTTTGCTTGGCTGTACAGATGCTTACTGCGGGGGGTGCAAGGGAGACCAAACCGACCAGTCATAAGGAAGGTGCCTCGAGACTGTGATAACAGCTATCGGGGGCGAGCCAGCGCATGGTACGTGCAGCAAGGCAGTGAAAGTGGCCGGACCCCACACAGCTGACCCTGAAGTTTGAGTCCTAGACTCTAGGGGCTTGAGAAATACCACGTGTGTGTGTGTGTGCATTGCCCAAAATCCCGAAAGGAGGGAGAGATGCAGGAGGAGGGACTGAAGCGTGACCATTCCCCATAGGGGGTACTCCTCCCTCTCCTGTCCATCTTCAGTAACTGCATGTGCCCTCTGACAAATTATAAAAAAAAAAAAAGAGGGTCAGCCACATAGCCTAGTGGTTAAGGAAACCAGATCCTACATGGCTGACCACAGTTCAAATCTCTGTTCAGCAGCTTGAAAGACACACTTGAGTTCTGGACCCAGGTTCTTGAGAAACACGCCTGGCGCATGTGTGTGCATGTCCCAAATCCGAACAGGATGGACTAGTGGGGCAGAAGGAATTGCGGTATGACCATGCCCCATTGGAAGTTCTTGTCTCCACTCTGCCTGGTGTCTGTCTCTGGCCAGTCCCTCCAGCCTCTGGCAATTAAAAACAAGTAGGGAGCAGCAAATGGCGTAATGTTTATGTTGCTGGACTCCCACATAGTTAACCGCAGACGTGGTGGCTTCATACTCAAGCCAGATGCATGTGCATGCATACCCCAAATCCCAAGGGGAGCATGGAGGAGAAGGAACTGTAGCATGGCCATCTCCCCGGGGGGATGGGTGATTTTTTTGCTTTCGGCCTCTCAGTCTCTCTCTGTTTCTCTGGTGAGTGCACGTGCCCTATAGCAAAAATCTCTAAAACATTTAAGTATCCAGGGAATAGCATCCCTGGGTAAGCTCGGTCATGTTAGTCAAGGGCACCAGGAGTCTGATATTGATAAGAGATAATGGAGGGGCCTGCAGGTGGAGTGGTGGTTAAGGGCGCTGGACTCCCACATGGCCGACCACGGTTCAAGTCCTGGATCTGGTGGCTTGCTTTCTCACTTTCTCAATCTCTCTCTCTTTCTCTGTCCCTCTTTAGTCAAATTAAAATATATAAAATAAAGTTAAATAATTCTTTTTTTTAAAAAAAAGAGATAATGGGGGAACCAGCAGTTAGCGTAATGGCTATGTCGCTGGACTCCCACGTAGTCGACCGCGGTTCGTGTCCCGGACCCGGTGGCTTAAAAGTCACGCCGGGCGCGTGTGCGTGTGTGCCCAAGATCCCGAGAGGAGAATGGAGGAGAAGGGATTGTGGCGTGGCCAACCCCCATGGGGGGTGATTTCTCGCTTTCTGTCTCTCTTTGTCTTTTTGGTGAGCGCACATGCCCTATAACAAGAATCTAAAAACAAACAAGCAAACAAACAAACAAACAAAAAACCAAGACCACGATGGTGTTTTTTTTTTTTTTTTCCCCAGAGATGTTAGCTATTTGTGCTCACTGGAGAGACAAAGAGACAGAGCAAAGTGAGAAATCATCCCCCAGGGGGATGGCCACGCTGCACTCCCTTCTCCTCTGTTCTGCTCTAGGGATTTTGGGCACATATGCACACGTGTCCTGTATAAGTTTCAAACCTTCAGGTCTAGGACTTAAATTGCAGCTGGCCATTTGGGAGTCCAGTGCCTTAACCACTATGTCATCTGCTCATTCCCAGGATGGTACTCTTAAAAGAAACAAATTATAGGGACTGGCAGGTGGTGTGCTGGTTAAGGTGCTAGACTCCCACATGGTCAACTGCAGTTCAAATCCTGGACCTGGAGGTTTGCTTTCTCTCTTCCTTTCTCTATCTCTCTGTTTCTCTCTGGTCAAATTAAAATACATTAGCAATAAATAGAGTTAAATAAATAAATCATTCTTTTTTTTTTTCCTTAGGAATATAGTTATAAACTTATTGTAATTAACACCATATGGCTTTGCCAAAGAGTGGTCTGTTGAATAGTGGAACTGAAAAGCCACAGAGAGCCCACATGTCCACGCTCAGCTGACTTGGAACCACGGTGGCCCTGCAGAATACCAGTGCACCCTCTTTGGCTGCAAAATATTTACAGTAAAGGCATTAAAAAAAAAAAAAAAAGACAACAAAGAACTACAACAGGTTTTTTGTCCCCAAGTGTGTGGGGGAAAGACGGGCTTTCCAATAAATGGGGCTGGGTCAACTGGATATCTACCTGTTTAAAAAAATGTGCTTGGACCCCATCTTATTCATACCAGTATTTTTAAAAAAGAATTATTGTATTCAACTTTATTTATTTATTTAAATTTGACCAGAGAAGGACAGAGTGAGAGCGAGCGTGAGAAAGAGAAAGAGAGAGAAAGCAAGAAAGCAAGCCGCTAGGTCCAGGACTTGAACCGCAGTCGGCCATGTTGGAGTCGAGCATGCTTAACCACCACGCCACATGCTGGCCCCTCATATCAATGTTTGTGTACTTCATATAAATAACAAATTTCAGATGGATTGTAGATCTAAATATGAAATAAGGTCTTTATGGGGCCAGCTTATAGCGTGGTGGTTACGGCAGCTGGATCCCACCTGGCTGACATTTGTGGTTCAAGTCTCAGACCCGGCAGCTTGAGAAAGCCTGGTCATGTGTGCCTGTGTGCCCAAAGTCCGGAAAGGAGTCAGAAACGGGGGAGAAGAGGTTGAGCCATGGCCATTCCCCATGGTGGGCCTTCTTACTTTCCTTTTTTCCCTTTTTTTAAAGGTATTTATTTGCCTTACGGTACATGCTCTCGCCAGAGAGACAGAGGGAGGGAAACCATTTCTCTGGCAACCACATCGCCCTATCACAAAAATCTCTCTCTCAAAAAAAAAAAAAAAAGTACAATAAAGAAAAAAATATAAATTGGGTAATATTAAAACTAACAACTGCATGGGACCAGCAGTTAGCGTAATGGCTATGTTGCTGGACTCCTATGTAGTTGACTGTAGTTCAAGTCCCGGACCCAGTGACTTAAACTCACGCCGGGCGCGTGTGCGTGGGTGCCCAAGATCCCGAGAGGAGAATGGAGGAGAAGGGATTGCAGCGTGGCCATCCCCCCGGGGGATGATTTCTCGCTTTCTGTCTCTCTGTCTCTCTCTGTCTTTCTGACAAGCGCATGTGCCTTATAGCAAAAACCTCTCTAAAAAAAAAAAAGCAAAAAAGAAGGCCTCAACTTTATAGTCATTAGGGAAATGTAAATTAAAATAACATGAAAAGCAGATCGGTGGTTGTCTGGAGTAAAAGGTAGGAGCGGAAGGACTGCAAATGGGTTTAGGTGAACTTTCTGGGGTGGTGACAATGTCCTAAATCTGGATTGTGGTGATGGCTGCATGTTTACTCAAAATACTCAAACTGAATGCTTATAATTAGTGATTTTTATGGTATGTGGGTTATACCTCAAAGCTGTTTAAACAAACAAAACTATATGCAACCTTGTTACACCCCCCATCAGAACGGCTGCTAAGAAATAGTAAGTGTTAGAGAAATGAGAGAACAACTGGAATCTGATCTAGGGTTGATAGGGTCTGGGGTGGCGTTCAGAAACCTCCGAGTATGCTGGGTATGCATGCGTCTATGGGCAAGGGCTGGCTGGGGGTGGACACCCCCATGGTGTCAAGACCCTGTTGGGGGTCCAGGGACAGGGGGTCCCTGTCTCTCTCTCTTTCTTTCTAGCTCATGTTAGAAAATAAATAAATAAACTTGAAAGGTATACTCAACCCAAAAGGAGGTGGGAAAAGAGGAAAAAGGGAACTACAATGTCCCCAGGAGGGGGAGGGACACAAGATGTGGAAGGAGCAGAGAAAAAGCCAGGGGGTGGCAGAGAGGGGGTGAGCAGGATGGAGAAGTGGTGCCTGGGACCAGAGCAGGCAGGGCTGTGGGCCACGGAAGGTGGGGGGGCCAGGGGCGGCCACAGCCATCTGACCAGGGGCCACGTGACTCAGTGTACATTTGTCAATACTCCTTCCAAGGTTGGGGACGCCAAGGGAGGGGAGAGGTTGTGAGATGGAGGCCCCTGGCCTGGTCCAGGGCACATGAAGACACAGAGAAGAATGGAGGATCTGAGGTTTTTGTTCCAAGGTGGATCAACAAGGCAGAATGAGGGGCTGGGCTGGAGAGAAACAGAAGGTCTGGAGAGGTCTAAGAGGGGCTTTCATTTCTGCTGTAAGGTTTTTGCCTTAGGACACAGGTACTCTCCTGCGGTGGGGGAGGGGTAGGAACAGTGAAAGGGAAGTGAGAAAACACCCCCTGGCGGGGCATGACCACACCACAGTCCCTTCTCCATTCTCTTGGGATTTGGGGGCATGTATGCACATGCCCAGCGTGAGTTTTAAGCCGCTGTGTTTGGGACTCAAACCACAGTCAAGTACATGGAAGTCCAACAACATAGCCATTACTAAGCTAGTTGCTGGGTCCAGGTTTTGAGCCACGGTCGATGAACCACTACGCCACCTGCTGGACCCTGTATTTTTTAATAGGCTCTCGCAACCACGCACTTGCAGGACAAGGAGAGAGAAGCCCAGGAGTGCCCACAGAAAGCTTGGAAAAGGCAGAATTCTGGGGATCAATGTTCTGTGACTATCTTGTTCAGGAGGAGTTTGCCGTGAAGGGAGGCAGAGAAGAGGGGTTACATGTGGAAGAGCAGCCCATGGGGTGCTGGGACGTTTCTGAGAAAGATGCATGGAGCCTACTGGGTGCTGATGGGACAGCAGGCAGGGAGCGAGCACTGGCCAGGGCAGACTGGGACTGGCTGCAGAGCCGCCTCCTCCCCTACCCCCAGTGCCTGTAGGCCCAAGTGCTGCTCCTCCAGAGGGGCCGGGGCCCCTGTCACCCGAGCCCCAGACTTCTCAGGGGCACCTGCCATGGTGCACACTGGTCTGTGGTCATTAGCTCCCTGGTAGCTCCCTGAGAAACGAGCACTGAGACTAATTTGTTTCCACTGCCCCGCCATCGGTACGAGCCCAGCACCATGTGTAGGATCAGTAAACACAGGCATGGCCAGACGGCTGCCGAGAAGCACAGATTTTGGTAAGCCGCTGACTTCCCAGAGCCCAGACGCCTGTTCCTAGGTCCCCACATCTCATGGGCCCCAGACCCCCAGTGCTCCCTGACCCAGCCCACCTTGGGATCCAGGTCGAAGAAGCTGTAGTATTTAAAGCGCAGCCAGAGCACGTCTCCAGCCTTGATGCCCTGCTGCATGAGACACCGTGACGAGTCCAGCCACCTGGATCACAGCAGAGCTGGGGTCAGGGCTGTGCTGGGAGAACCCTCATGGGAAAGGCCTGGAAACAGAAGGCTGGATTTGGGGGACGCCCTAGGTCAAAAGCTCAGGTACAAGGTGCTATGCCCCCCACCCCCGGGTGCAGCCCCAGTGGGTTGAGCACCTGCTGTGGAGCTGGGTCTTGTCCAACAGGGAGCTGGGCCGGGGCAGGCGCTGGAGCAGGAGGGGGTCAGGCGGTGGCTGGGGCCGGCTCAGCATGTGGTAGCAGGCCTCTGTCTGGGCACTGTCTGAGAAGTGGGCTGGCATCCCCCGAAACAACGCAGGTGCCATGCCTAGAGCACGGGTCAGAGGTTACCCAGGCCTGTCCCTGAGCTCCAGGTTTCGGCCCTGGCCCCAGCCCTGGCCCTGACCAGCCCCAGGCACGCCCAGCCAGGACGACCTTGCTCAAGTCATACACCTCTTCCTCTGGCTCCTTCTCCTTCCTCTTCTTCTCCTTCTTCTCAGGAGCCCGAAGCAGAGAGAGCTCCTCAGGATGCCGGATGCCTGAGGGGAGTTGGGGTCTCAGTGGGGACCAGGGCCTGCCCCAAGACCTCCCGATCCACCCACGTGCACCCTGCAGGCAAGAAGAGATGAACAAGGTGACAGTAGCAGGCCAGGAAAGTGTGGGACATACCCGAGGAACCCTTGCAGGCTGGTACGTGGGGCCAGCCTGAACAACTCACTGAGGAGGCGGCAGATGGCAGCCACGGCCTGGAAGAGGGGCTTCGAGAAGCTGGCGCGGAGGCGCAGGGCACGGCGGTTGGGCAACCGCAGGATGACCGGCCGGTGCTGTGGCCCAAAGAAGAGGCGGGCGTCGGCCAGGATTCCGTACTTGTCCAAAGTCCAG